TAACCTCTTTGGCTCACTGTTTTTATTAGATACTAGAATCATGTGGTGCCCTTTTCAAGGGCTCCAGACAAGTATATTCTTACAAGAGTACATTCTAGCTATACCTGCGCCTTTTAAGCATCTAATTAAGTATCTACTTATTATTAGATTCTATATTAGATATTATACCTGTAATCCGCTATTACTTGAGCTATCCAATTAAACCTCTGATCTGAGTTTTTTATGTCAATCCATTTAACCTTACCCAGAATATGCGATACATTAGTTAGTTCAAGTTCTGAGATCATCTAAGTTTACCTATATGACTACTGGTATTTAACCGATTTATTCTCAAGTACATCGTCTGCTAGAGCCATCCATCACCTACTTTTAATATATGACCTAGTCTTTTTTAAATAAATATTATTGGATAGGTTTTATACCTTCACAGGCAGGTTACACCACCAATTTATACTATAAATAGATAGCCAGATAGGTTGAAAACCTTTATGAGCAGGCTACATCACCTAACTACCTGGCCTTTACAATGTTTACCCAAGTTCTGGTACTCTTCCTTCAAGATAATCCAGTACCTTCTCTTTTAGTACCCTCTAGCAGTCTTACCAGACTACTAATCCAGATGATTCAGAAAGGACACCAGTCTTTTCCCCAGTCAACCTAGTAGCCTGGTTGGTGAAGTAACTTGCCGGTACTCTTGCCTTGTCTAGTTTTTTAGCCTCGAGTAGAGTCTATTCCAATAAGCACTATCAAAAGCTTGTGCTACCTCTCTATTCAGATCTTGTCAAGCGGGCTTCCCATAGTGCTATTCATTGGATTAACACAATCTGAAGACTAATTATGAGTTTATACCACCTTACCAGTTTTGTATCCTCTTTGTGCAACTTGTATATTACACAAATGCTCTGAGATCTCTCTTATATATAGATATTCTTTTTATATAAAGTATAACTGATGTTACAGGATCTTCTTTCTAATATACAAAAGAGTTGCTGTTATATAAAAGTATTCAATTTTTCGCCATTAGTGAGAATTGAACTCTAGATGTGCTGCTTGGTGGATAACAACTCAACTACTTTACTAAGTCGCCACACCCTTAGAATAACAATTGTTATTATTACAACTTTTGCAATTTAGTTATAAAAATTTAGATTTGGATTAAAAGCAAAATTTTTTTTTATTTTCAGAAATTTTAAAAAATTTTGAAAAATTTTTAATAATAAAAATTTTCAAACAAAAACTTTAAAATTTTATTACTCCAAAGTTTTTAATAATTTTAAAAAATTTTTATAAAGTTTATAAAATATATTTTCAAAAATATATTCTATAATAAATATATATCTCATATCATTAATAAATTATTATTTTATTTAAAAAATACTAAATATAATTTAATTTTTTGAGGTATTGTGACTTAGTGAAGTGGTCAAGTTGTCGCCCCCAAGTAGCATATCCAGAGTTCAATTCCTACTGATGACGAAAAATCAAATTCTTCTGTGCATTGATGACTATTTCGGGTGTTGAGATAGAGATCCTGTAACAACAGTTAGACCAAATAGGTGCTAATCGCCTAATGGACGGCTTATCTCGCAAGCCCTAATCGAGAGTAGTAGTATAGACTTGAAAGATCTTGGGGCATTTATGTAACAGAGAAGTTACACAAAGAGATACAAACTGATAAAAGGCAGTGTAAACCCATGATAAATCCTCGGAATCTGTGTAAATCCATTGGACTTTGTCCTGAATAAAAATCTACTTGGCAAGTTCTGAGTAGAGAGGTAGCACTACTTTTGACAGTTCTGGAAAGTCTAAGAAGAGAACCAATAAGCTGTGGATCTGGACAAGGACTGGGTGTTTGGTAAGCACTATACCAACCAGCCTGCTAGAATCGACCGGAGGAAAAGGGCACAGGCCGGTATTTGGGTTAAGCTAGTAGGAAAGCAGGTAACGCAACTTGTGGACCAAACTGGGCTATCTGAATTGAAAGTTTGGTGAAACAGTAGAAGGGTTCCTGATTAGACAAGTAAGGGGCTGGGGTAGAGTGAACTCTATAAGGGCAGAAGTAGATAACGGTAGCAGCTTCGGCTTACAAGTACTTGTTCTCGGACTAAACATAAGTTATCAAAACCTAGGTCAGCCTAAATGTGGGTATGAAAGGCTCTAGCAGATTTACTTCGAGATCAAAGAACTCTCTAAATGGTAGAGATCGCTTTAAAGCCCTAAGCCAGCATGTGAAAATAAGGTGGTCTAAGTATTATCGCTTGGATATAAAAGGGTTGATACATAGGCACAGAGGGTTTAAATGGGTTACCCCTCTAGTGGAGTGCTGGTATGGCATCTAGTGTAGAACCTGATAATAGGCAGACTACTTAAATAGGCGCTCAAAAGGCACAGGTATGGCTAGTTGTACCCAACAAATATGTATAGCTGTTAAGATATGTTTGACAATTAAAAATACTACTGATATTCGAATAAAGAGCAGCATGGCAAAGAGGTT